GTGATGACTTACGGATCAGAGACGTGGTCCTTCACTGCTGGCCGTATGAGGACGCTCAAGGTCGCTCAGCGAGCTATGGAGAGGGCTATGCTCGGAGTTTCTCTGCGTGATAGACTCAGAAATGAGGATATCCGCAGTAAAACCAGATTGACCGACATAGCCCAACGGATTAGTAAGCTGAAGTGGCAATGGGCCGGCCATATAGCTCGAAGAACCGATAACCGATGGGGAAGAAAGGTTCTCGAGTGGCAGCCTCGTACCGGTAGGCGTAGTGTAGGGCGACCCCCCACTAGATGGAGTGACGACCTGGTAAGATATGCAGGAAGTCGATGGATACAGGTGGATCAGGACCGTGCTTTGTGGCATTACTTGGGGGAGGCCTATGTTCAGCAGTGGACTTGTGAAGGGCTGTGATGATGATGATGATGAACCCAGAGGCAGGAAATTGACAATTTTTCACCCCTATGCCTCGTAAAGCATTGGTCCTGCGCCCAATCTCTCCCCGGTTGTGTCGGATTACCGTCCCATCGGTCTATGATAATAAGGGAATAGAGAGTGCACCTGTATTCGCGCATACACTCTGGCTATGGAGTGTAGAAGTAAGGAGTGCAGACTGTGTATTAAAAAGTGTCCATAGAAAACCGTTAAATAAGGGTGGCGCCACTATAGTGGGTATAATTACGGGGTAAAATATTATATACGGGGTAAAATTTAACCCATAGCTATAGCTACGGGTTAAATTTTAGACGACTTTTTCGAGGTTATATTTACTAAATAAAATTATTTTAGATTTTAGAGCTACCGAGCAGTTTAGCAACACACTTCAAACCGTCGTTAACTGCTAAGTTCATTTCATCCCAGTGCTGTTGTGGAGAGTTTTTGAACTGTTATTTACTGCTTACAGATGGCCACTTTTTCAACTATACTACTATGGGAGTTGGTACTCCTTACTTCTACACTCCATAACTCTGGCACTATCATGCTGTCCTGTGCAGATGGCTACTCTCTGTTGAAGCGGGTCGCCGCGACTGAAATTCGGTGTGGAGGACATTATTTATTATAAGTATAAAACAAAGTCACTTGCCGCCATTTGTATGCTAAAAACCAGCAAGGAACTTTTGAATCTTTTATTACGATTACGTATTTTAAATGCCAGTTCTTTATGTCCACGATTTAAAGTTGGTTTTAATAATATATCTGTAGCCAGAAGCCGAAGGGATTTGCAGAAGCGAAGTAAGAGCTTTTTCCTCACATCATCCTCAATATATTGATCTACTTTGAAAGGACATTTTATATAAAAAAAAATACTCCAAGGAAATTCATTCAAAATGTAGCAACATTATAAAGATGCGTGAATAAAAGGCACTCATTTATAGTGGTGATGTAATATACCACTATTATCAAAAAAAAATTAAAAAAAATGTTCTTCCGGGGGCTAAGGATTTTTCTGAACCAGTGGTAAATTCAACAAAAGAGTTACTTTCAATAAGTATTTTTATATATACTTATTGTTATATATATTATTTATATAATTATATATAATCCATATTGAACAAAAAGTTTGTTTCTATTCATCATATGGGTGTTGTAAGAAGCGATAGAGAGAAAAAAACCAAAAGAGAGGCAGCAGTGCCTTCCTAATAACAAAAAAATTAAAAAAAAAAACTGTTCCAGCATGCCTGGCAAGCGTGCCAACCATGCCAAATATCCCCCCTACAAAGCAATCTATAGAGGTACACGTTACACAGTGAACTTTTGATAGGCTATAACGATAACAGATTCTATTTAAGGCCATACATAACTGAAAATTTACTGTGTACTAGCTATCCGCCCCGACTCCGCACGGGTAATTTCTGGATCTCACCCGTACAACAGCGCCACCTACCGGTTGAGTTTTTAACTCATCCAGGAACCCACTCAAATACACACAAAAAATTCATCAAAATTGTTCGAGCTGTTTTTGAGACTAATGGACAACAATAGATTTTTATATATAAGATTAGATGTGTTTAAGTGGTAGAGTCAAGTTGCAGCTCTATGCAGCTAAAACACGAATGGATCAGTGCGACCAGAGCAGGACTACACTCTTATAAAATACCAGCATAAAACAGTAGAATAATGCAACTTTGTTTTGTGTGGTGAGTGTAGAATCGCAGATTCTTTGTACTAGTAATGAGGCATTGCATCTTAATATGCAGGGGTAACAACGAATCTATATTATGATACTTAATCAATGATGATAAATGCTGTAGACTATGTCGTATGTGAGTCGAGCACACAGTTTCATTTGACGGTAAATGGATGCTGTATCCACTTACCATCAGATGAACTGTGTGCTCGTTTGTCACTCTATATTCTATAACAAAATTGATGCAGTAACCAGTTAGATTTTTTATAAAATTATTGTCCCCATGACATATTATGTCCAAATATAAATATGGAGACAATCAACAACTTATCAGAAAGTTATAAGTAATATTGGGCTCAACTTCAACGTAATCAAAGTTTTCATCGCTGAATTTCATTATACAATCATTATTCATTACAGCCTCTAAATCCCCACTGCTGAACATCCTTTATAGATTGCCTCAAAGGGATATTACGACATAGTTGTTGCATTTGCAAGCAGGTTTGCAACTGCAGTTTTTTTTATTGTTTTTAAATATTATACGAAAGATGCTGCTTCCCATTTCCTGTTTTTTTTTTCTCTAAATGCTTTTAGCTTATATCAAGTCAGTTAAACATGGCCATGGACAACAGTAGCACTTGACCATCAGGAGATGAATTAGACAGCTCGGCCAATCTCCTGTCTTTGTTAGTGACATACCACACATTCAAACCAAAAATTTGCTTTTTCATTTTTTTTTTGTAATGTAACACAGCACTGGAGTAGAATCATGTTTCCAAGCAAAAACTAAATAGGTATTTGTTAAGCTAAGTTAGGCACTGGCTTATGATAATTATAAAAGAACTATAAGCTATTATAACATTCTAACGGTATGGTAAAACCATGCTACAGCTATATTAGTATAGTTATAGTATGAATGAGTCGGTACGACCGGGGAAGGACCACACTCTCACAGAATACCAGCTTAAAATAGCAGCTCAAGACTGCTGTTTCTTATGGTGAGTGTAGAGAACTGGAGATCCTTTTTACTGGAAACGAGACATTCCATCTTAGTAATCATGGGTGACAATGCATCTGCATTTTAATTCATAATCAAGGATACATATAGGGCCACAGGGCTATGGGCCACAGTAACCAATTAACCTTGATTGGACTGTCTATTCATTTGTCACCCTTATACTATAAAAAGGTACAGTTATCTCCAGCTTCCCTAAACATATTTATGCAGATTTATCCACTAACACAAAAGTATTTATTCATCTTCATTCATGGCTGATGTAACACTACGATAAAATCAGAAGTAGATTAGAGATATGAAAACAATTACAGCACAGCTAAACTAGGAAGCTAAAAATTTCTTTTTGTTTTTGCATGAATGTTAGGTTTGGAAATTGAAGTCAGAATTTATTATATTTGAGTACACAGTATTAATAAAATGTTTTTGAATGAAACATGAAAATATTCATTCCTATATCTAAGACAAGTTTAATTTATATTTAATAGGTTCAATATTTTATTGTATCCACTACTAATTGATACGTTGATCCTAGCTCAAAACTCTTTTGCAGTAAGATACATCCTACTAGCTCGCCAGGCAGACATTGTTCTGCCTTCTAGAACCAATCTTTGCCCTAAAAAAATCCTTAAAATCATAATAAAAAATATTGAGGGTCACTTATCGGGATAATAACTATCCTCTCTCTCTCTCAAGTTGGACCGAACTGCACACAGGATGAAAAATTTCATTGAAATCAGTTAAATAGTTTAGGAGTTGGTTGTGGACATATAATGTGACACATAATTTTTATATATAAAGATTATATTAACATTCAGTTATTAATGAATTCTATCCAATAATTTGTATACTGTATATACTGTAATACAAGGGAACATGATACAGTAAAAATTTTCATATAATTTAGAGTAAATTTCTTATGCTTAAAGGGTCTAAGTTTATGTAAATACTAGTAATAATCAAGTAAAGCAATATACAATTGTGATAAAACTGTTTATCTATTATATTTGTTTATAAATAATAATTCCAATCAACTTTAAATTATACACTGTATTGTACAGCGCTAATAAAAACACCATATGTTCACGAAGTTTTAACTCAAAAAGAACAAAGACTTGAGCTTGAGTGAATCACAGACACTGGGAATTGTGCTAAACATGCTAAATGTAGTATCATTTAATAACCTAGCTAATTTAAAAATGGAACAATAAAGATTTAAAGATAAACAGATTTATTGTTTGCAACTTGCAATTTGACGTAGGTATTGTTTTATCTTTAAAATAAAAAAATGGAATATTTAAAGCTTGATGTATATAAAAATACTTAATTTTATCAGGTTAAATGCGATTTAAATTTAAAACAAATACACAAGCTAATTAAGTTCTAAAATAATTATTTTTTAACTGTTTTTATTGTGTTGACGTTTGACAAATGACAATGAAGTAGAGATAGAGATGTGCAATTTCAAAAATCGATACTTTTAAAATCATAGTGTAAATAAAAATTTGTTTTAATTCCAGTAATTATAGTATTTTATATTATTTATTAGAAGTTTATCAATCTGATGTGAGAAAATTACTGCGAACTAAGTGCGAGTTGTGTTTATAGTTTCTTTTAAAATTCATAATCAATACTACTTTGAATACATCAAAGCAATGCGAATAATTTTACTCTACATATAAAGTTCAAAACTCTCCAATAACAAGTTTATATTACAAAAGTTTAAGAATACATAATGTGTGAGCAACAGGTTATCCTCCGTCATAATCCGACAAATACGCGACTTTCGCACTTTAATTTGCATAAAAGACAGGACATAGGGAGCATGCGCAATTGTGACCTTAAAAGCGAGGAAAACTAAAGATTTCCTATTTGAATTGTGTAGTACCGACCTTTTTCGGACTTGAGGAGGTACGTCTTGTGCTTCCTCTCAGCCTCCTCGTATCTGTTTTTCCACTTTTCGACGTAAGTAGAGAGCGCGATGTTAGCTTCCTTGGTGTGTTGGGGCGCATCGGGCGGCGTCATCCTGACGGCAGTGGCTCGCGGGATCCTCGTGGCCGCGACGCTGGGACAGAGCGAGACGGCGCTCCGCGCGCTCTGACACTGGTTGTTGCTCGACGCGATCGCAAATACATTATCGCCGTTCCTTTTAATCATTTTTGCATTCGATTTTATTCATACGCGCATTTCAAACGCTCGCATCTTCCCGTATTCACTTATAAACTCCGTTCAAGACACGTGTTAAGATCAACAGGCTGGCGCAATGGTTATCGGAAAGTGTTAAAATAAATTCATAACAAAATAACAATAGATTTCTTTGTTCTGGCGTTAAGGAAAATACGCGTGATTAAATATATACGGCAGCACTTAGTTAATTGTGTCGGTGTCAACCACGTTCACTTATTAAAGTAGCCTTGATGTACTACTACTAGTTCAAAAAATCATAAGAATTGAAATTAACGAATAAAAGTCTAAATAGACGACAATTAGCTCTCAGTGTCCGATTGCAACTAACGTATGCGTGCGGTTATGATATGATAATGAAATCTTCGCCATTGTGAGTCATACGAGTTGATGTTTACGCTTTTTGTTTATGTTTCAAGTAGTCAAGTAACGTAAATGTCAAAGGGTAATTTGTAGAATCTAGTGAAAATTTAGTTGGAATTATTCATGCATGATCAATGTACTCCCTTTAACCTATCAATGTGCTTAAATATTCTTATCTTATCATTATTTTTTATTATTAGATGCAAGTAGGTAGGCTTACGTCATCGTAAATTATTACCGATACCAACATCACTGTCCATTTTTTTTAGAAATTGTCAATTAAAATGCTTTATAGATTTTTAGAAATATAATTTATAATTTTCATTTTAATTTTCATATCTAATCTATAATTCCAAATAGTAATAATTCTTTGATTGTATTTTAGTCAATTAAAATTCAACATTAGATTTTGAATCTGAATATTGCCTCATAAATGAAATTATTATCAGATAGATTCTAACACTTACTAACACTTAGATATAATTGATATGTTATCAGAATTGAGTTCAATTTCCAATTAAGTGATGAAATAACACAAATATTAAAAATAACAATAAAACCAATACAAATTATGAAGATTATGTCATAAATCGAAAACACAAAATAAAATAAAGCACAATCAGCACTCTACACATATCTCTGCAGTCGACGAACACACTAAATGCATTTCGTCCAAGTAGGGTCGAACGGAAATTCTAAAATTAAACTATTTCCAGTAAAACGTCGCAACGAACAGCAAGTCGCTGTTCTTCTATAAACTAAACGACAAGGAGGTCGAGATGTGTGGGCCGAAGCGCAAATGGCGTGGCTTGTAAGCCCATTTAATTGCTACAGACAAGTCTCGCTATGATTTTCAAATTTGTCGAGTGTCTGTAATAATCCGACTCCATTCCGGAAAACTCATTGCAATGAATTTCATCTATTTAAGTTACGATTAATATTCTAAAAAAAATACTTTTAGAAACACTTTGACATATCGTACATCGGATCACTGCCTTTTTTGCGGATATTGACTTTTGTCTGTAGAAAACCTTGTGGGTAATCACAATCTAGAAAAAATCAGTCATGGTTGAACTCTATTAACTTGAACGCGAGGCTAAAGAAACCAACCAAAAAATCCACAAAAAAACTTGTTTGCGGTGGAGCAAGCCCGAGGAGCTTACAAAATAAACTTTTCCATATTTAGAAAACGGGGTCAGATCGGGGCTTACCTTTGTAAAGGGCGCTGGCAGCCAAGCAAGGCAAACCGATTACCTCATGATAGCCAACCGAATATCACAATGCATTCATAAATTCGAATATGCTTGGGTAACAAGTACTACGTAATTATTGTAAGCAATAGGTGTTTAATAAATTTACATCAAACAGTTATTAGAAATCCTGCAAAATATATTTTTTAAATTACAGTGGAATTAAAACCACATGAACAAAAATAAGGTATTCCCAAGGGTTCGATGCGTTTATTACTTCCTTTTACATCTGAGTCACATCTTTATTTTATTATTCTTTTTACGAGAGCATAATAAATAAAATTTTCGGATCATTCACCTCGAGAGTTTAAGCCTATTTCTGTTCAGTCTTGTTATCCTGGTCGGCAATCGTAAAATGTTAACGCTGAATTTACAAGCAGGATTAAAGGTTGCGTAAAAAATTTATGTTGTCTTTAAATTCACCTAATTTGGATGGACTCGCTGTTTCATGCGTTAGTTAAAGTTAAATAAAGACGAGGATAATGTGTTTTTGTTACATATTATAAATTTTGTACCCAGAGGAAAAGAAATTTATATTGTCTTTGTCTGCTTGTGTCGATCAATTAAGTGCAGCTGTACTAACATACTAGAGTTATTCAATTCATCCAGTTAATTTTTGCAGCGTTCTCAATTAAAAACGGTATAGAAACAATTTATTTAGTGAGCGACATTCCTTCTCCCACATGAAATTGTGTCACCCGATGCTTAGCAACGTGTGTGGGCGCCGTCAGGATTGTCTACAAGCTTATTGCAAAAGTTTTCACTGTATGCTTGACTTGTGGAACTTGTTATAATTTCAATCTACAAGAATTCACGGTACAATTAGAGTGAAATAAATATTACTTTCGAAAAATCTTCAAAGATCAAATAAAGGAAAAGTTAATAGCCATCAACTATTTTTTTAGGTACTCAATTTTAAACTTATGGGATCACTTACTTCTATCATTATTTATTAATAGATTAAAGAAATGCCTTTGAAGTCTTCTGATTTGACATATCACTATTCTTTGGCGGTCTAATGTTCTGACACTCCTCACTAAATGACTAGAACTTCCAGATAAAATATTTCAATACTACTAATCTGTTCGTTTCACTTATTGGTTCAAACATTTTATATTATGTTTAAGCATAAATAATCTAATTTAATGCACGAAAGTGAAATACATTGGATTTTCTTGTATATAGTAATTGGGTCTAATGTAATTTTGTGTAAATCAGATTGTGTCAGATGTTATTTGGTCAGACTAGCGGCTACAGTTCTAACCGAAGATCTTAAAGGCCACGGCATAGTAGCCTGGTATTCTGACCACTAAGCCATACGCCATGCACTGATGCTGTGATTTGAAGCCACTCGCTTGTTCTTACGACAATATCAGGATTGTTAACAAAACAAGACTTTCTAGTATGCCGATTAAAAGAGGTCTTAATCCCTTGGCGGTATAAAAAGTTTTACATACACTTATATGCTCCAAGGAACCATTTTTCGTACTCTTATATATTTTTTTTATAGGATAGGGTGACAAACGAGCACACAGTCCAACTGATGGTAAGTGGTTGCTGTGGCCCATAGACATCTACATCTATAAACTTGAATCACTTGAAAATTTTGCTTTATTTAAATCGAATTTTCTCTTTATTAAAGAAATTCATAAATATTAGGTCTTAACCTATGAAATTGCCATTTTATATGAAAATAAGTTAACGTATTTTTATGTTTTTTATTTTATTTATATTAACAATCATGTAATAATAACCTATGCAATCGATGCATATTTACCAACGCAGTAGCAGTTTATTAATGCCCTTTTTGAAGAAATCAGCTGAACGGAACGCAATAAATTTTTCAAAAGCATTTTGTACTGCATCTCGGGTATTGAATTTTTTCCCGCCAAAAAATTAGCCAAGTTCTGTAAAAGTAGAAGTCTGTGAGCTCAAGGTCTGATCAGTCCGGCGGATGACGGAGAGCTTCCAACCCCAGCTCTTGTAACGTGGAGACCATCATTGTGCAGTATGAGGTCACACGTTGTCGTGCAGGAGCAGCATGGATGAGCGATTGACTAAAGACGTGTGAACTTCTCCTTCATTAAGGAGAAGTTCGCACGTCTCCAACCAGCTAGAACACAATGGCGTTCAGTTCTTCACAGTACACATCTACAGAAATGCTCATCCCGTTTGTTAAGAAGCTGTGATGATTTCTTAAATTTACGCGAACACTACACATTGAATACAACTATTATTTACGGATTTTATCGCGTTTAATTACTACTTGAATTTAAAAACGTGAAACGTCAGGATAATAAAAATAAATTCAAGTAGTAATTAAACGCGATAAAATCCGTAAATAATAGTTTTGTTCAAAGCTGTGATGAATCACTCCAGCGCTAGACCTCCAAACTTGGATCCAATCAACTTGCTGAGTGCTGGCGATTTTCAAACGGAATAAATTTTTCGTCGCAGGTAACAATGCGGCTCAAAATTCCTGTTTGTGTGCCTGTGCAAGGCATGGCTCGATGCGAACTTCCCGAAGGCGATCATTGAGTTCGTGGGGCACCCATTTCACAAGCTTTTATACCTTGCCAATTTGACGCAAATGGATCAATATTGCTTCGATGCTAACGTCGAACGCGCGTATATTGAACATCATCAGCTTGCACAATCGTCTTTATTTCGCTGTTGTCGACTAAAGTTTTCGGAAGACCACGGGGTTCATTTTTCAGGTCAAAATTTTCAGAACAAAAGCGAGTAAACCAATAACAGGGGGTGCCGTTCATTTATAGTATTCGCTCTGTAAACGTCGAAGATGTTGCGTGCTGCTTTTACCGCGTTGGTGCCACCACGGTACCCATATTCCATAATTACTCGAATTTTTAACGTATCCATGACGACGAAAAGATTCAAAAGCGATGAAAACATAATTCTAGTCAATAAACAAACGACTAATTTTGAAAAAAAGAATTCCATGTTTTAAAAATAAGATTAAATTGAATTTAAAATTTTTAGGCTAACAAAAAAAATATTTTGGTTTAAAATTGCCAGTACTGCAGAACGACAATGTCATATAGACCTTATTATGCAATATTATTAATTCTATCAATAATTGATCTATATATAAATAATAATTACGATATGAAACAAATGACATCAAGATTCTGGAATTTTTTCATTTTCATCATCATCTTCACAGCCTTTCAAAAGTTCACCGCCGAATAATACCGGAAAATAGTAATTTTTCTAAATTTTCTCCGAATAAATTACTATGTCTGTCTCCATAAATTATGACAGAAAAAGAAAATAGCCGAATACGACTATTTTGCACTCGACTGAAAACCGAAAACGAAATGCCGAGTCGAATCATTTTTT